CTTCTCAGAAATTACTTATGCTTTTGAAACACTTAAAACCACCGGTATCTCATTTATTAGGCGTTCATAATATATAAAAATTCTTTAATAATTTTGAAAGTAGGGGACCCCCCAGTACTGTAACAAAGACATAACAATTTATTCTCTCACCAAATATAACCGTCTAGACAAGTAGGCAAAAGTCAGTATGAAAGCTCCATAAAGGTCAGCAGGGACCTGAGCTGCTTCTATCTTTCTGCTCTGAAATCCTTGGTGTAGGCTTCTATACTCAAGATCACTGTGTGGCCCAAGATGGCTGCTAGATATCCACCCATCTTACTTTATTCCAACAATAGAAAGGAAGAGGAGACAAAGAATAATAATAACAACAGAAGAACACTCTTGCTGTCTATCTCCCTTTAGGGAAATTTTGCACAAATTCTTCCCAGTAATTTCTACTTATAGATCCTTTGCCAGAATTCAAGTACCTGGTCATATCTACCTGCAAAATACTTTTCCACAAGTCAAATCTGGAATTTGATTTTACCTAACTTACAAGCCATTAAATTATCCTGTTACTATTTCATGGATGCTGACAGAAGACAAGAGGCTTTTGGGTCTTTATTAATCATTACACAGCATATTTGTATAGATTATGTTGGCCCCTAGGTCCCGTGGGAACGATGCCATGGGCTTGGATGGCAGCCTGCACCTGCAATGGGTTGTATTACAGAAGAAGAGCACTGAGTTTGGGGAAACACAATGTAAGCAAGCCTGCTTTTGGTCCTGCTTGCTGCAAAAACAACCTTAAAAAATGGTTGGGGTCAAGAGCAGTCAGGACCTTGCATCCTTGGCACACCCAACAAGAAAATGCAGGCATGCTCAGGGTCCATGGCTCTCCCAACATACATTACCACCCTGAAAAAATTCAAGATTGCTTCACTAAGAAGGGAAGAATAAAATTGTACATAAAATGAGTAGTCTCTGTCACATAATCTTACTGTATTTTGTGAGATTTCTATTATATATATATGTAAATTTTATTTTAGTGAAGCTTTAAATAATCCAATATATTCAAGGTATTAAAATAAGGTATTTTATTATAATCTAGTGTTCTGGCTAGGTTGCAACTGGAACTTGGATATTTAGGGTAAATATATAGAGGATACTCCTTCCCCAAAACTCCTTTGATTCATGATTTCTTTGATTTTGGATAAGAAGTTTTTTGTGCATTTTTCACTTATTTTGTGGGAGGGGATTGTTGTGGTGATGTCTTTGAGGTGAGCAGAGCAGAGCTGAGCATCATGGAGAAATTGGAATGGCATCTTTTCATGTACCCAGGCTCACTAACTGGCTTAGTTTCTCTAATCTTCAAGGTATCCCTACTGACTAACTATTGTTTATTTATTTATGCCATCTGTTTCCTACTGGAACCATGACTGATGCATTTGTCAAACATATTTCAGTTTTAGGGCCTTTCCTTTGGCTGGTCTCTCAACCTGGATATCTACAATATTTGTTTCCTTAAGTTATTCAGGTTTCTGCTCAATGTTATTTCATCCCAAATGTCTTCCAGACCACACTATCAAAACAGAGAACTCATGCACCCCTGCCATTCTTTTCTTCCTATCTTGCTTTATTTTTCTTCATTGCATTTATTACAACCTGAGATTTTTAAAAATACATGTATGTTTCTTTATCTATCTCCCCACACAAGGGTGATCATATCTTAAAATGCCTGGGATTTGTCCAGTTTTAGTGCTAAAAGTCCTACATCTGGAGAACCCTCTCAGTCCTCATCAAAAAGGGACAGTTGCTTCTCCTATCCCACAATAGAATACAAGCTCTATGATAGCAAGACTTTAATTTTTTCACTGTTGTATGTATCCTCAGCACTTAGAACAGTGCCTAGCACTTGGTAGTAGCACAATAAATATTAGTGGAAGGAAGGAAGGAAGAAAGGAAAGAAGGAAGGAAGGAAGGAAGGAAGAAAGGAAGGAGGGAAGGAAGGAAGGAAAGGAGGAATCAGTGTGCAAGATCACAGGGAAGGTGTGGTGGGATATAATCCCCAATAAAAGAGTTGAAAGGACCTTAGAAGTCAGTGCAAGCCTCATTTTGTGTAAGGGGACCAAAAAATTAGTGGGTATATTAAGTTTCAGGCAGAAAAATATAGCCTATGCCAGCTAGTTTAATAAAAGGAATTTAGCATGAGAAATGACCTACAAATATATTGGAAAGACAGAAAAACCAAAGAGGGGATGGTGAGACCTCCCAGATAGTAGCTACAGCGGGAAGCCAATAGTGTCCTCAGTAAGGGATTAAGGAACAAAGGAATAATGCAGATTTACCAGAACTCAAGAGCAGGGTGAATGGAAGCTCATGGATCAGTCCAGAGGGAGCAGAAATCTCCAAGGAACAAGGCATTTCTAGATGCTGCCCAAAGCAAAGAGAAAGAGGTCAAAAACAGATTTTTCCCTTTTCTTCTGTCCTTTCGTGGAACTGAGCAGGAAGCCAGTTGGCCAGGTAGCCTGAAAAAAATGTTGTTTTCCGAGATAGGTAAGAAATGCCTCTTTTGTGGTTCCACACAAATTTTAGGATTGTGTGTTCTATTTCTTTCTTTCTTTCTTTTTTTTTTTTGAAGATTTTATTTATTTATTTGAGACAGAGAGAATGAGAGAGAGAGAGAGAGCACATGAAAGGGGGGAGGGTCAGAGGGAGAAGCAGGCTCCCTGCCGAGCAGAGAGCCCGATGTGGGACTCCATCCAGGGACTCCAGGATCATGACCTGAGCCGAAGGCAGTCGCTTAACCAACTGAGCCACCCAGGCGCCCTGTGTGTTCTATTTCTGTGAAAAATGTCATTGGAATTTTGATAGAAATTGCCCTGAGTATGTAGATTGCTTTGGGTAGTATGGACATTTTAACAATATTAATTCTTCTAATTCATGAGCATGGAATATCTTTCCATTTATTTGTGTCTTCTCCTATTTCATCAATGTCTTACAGTTTTCAGTCTTTCATCTCCTTGGTTAAACTTATTCCTAAGTATTTTATTCTTTTTATGCAATTGTAAATAGGATTGTTTTCTTAATTCCTCTTTCTGATATTTTATTAATGTATAAAAATACAACTGATTTTTATACATGGATTTTGTATCCTGCAACTTTCCTGAATTGACATATTAGTTCTTTCAGTTTTGTTTTGTTTTGTATTCTTTTGTTGCTGGAGTCTTTAGGGTTTTCTACATATAATATCATGTCAGCTGCAAATTGTGACAGTTTTACTTCTTTTTGATTTGGATGGCTTTAATTTCTTTTTCTTGCCTAATTGATCTGGCTAGGCTATGTTGAGTAAAAACGGTAGAAGTGGGCATCTTTGTCTTATTTCTGATTTCAGTTCAGCTTTTCACTATTGATTATGATGTTAGTTCTAGGCTTGTTATGGCCTTTATTATGTTGAGGTACATTCCCTCTATACCCACTTTCTTAAGTGTTTTTATCATAAATAGATGTTGAATTTTGTCAAATGCTTTTTCTGCATCTATTGAGATGACTATATGATTTTTATCCTTTATTTTGTTAATGGGGTATATCACACTGACTGATTTGCACATGTTGAACCAGCCTTGCATCCTTGGAATAAATCCCACTTGACCAAGGTATACGATCCTTTTAATGTATTGTTGAATTCGGTTTGATAATTTTCGTTTAGATTTTGTAAGGATTTTTGCATCTGTGTTCATCAGGGATATTGGCCTGTAATTTTCTTTTCTTGTGGTGTCCTTGTCTGGTTTTGGTAGGAGAGTAATGCTGGCCTCCTAAAATGTTTGGAAGTGTTCCCTCTTCTATTTTTTGGAAGAGTTTGAGAAGGATTGGTATTAATTCCTTAAATGTTTGGTAGAATTCACCAATGAAGCCATCTGGTCCTGGACTTCTGTTTGTTGGGAGATTTTTAATTGCCAATGTAATCTTATTACTAGTAATCAGTCTGTCCAGATTTTCTATTTCTTTATGATTCATTTCTCATGAAATAAACCCCAATATTAAGACGTATGTTCTCTTTGTGTCCTTTTAAGTCATACTAACAACTTCATACACTAAGTATTCAGGACTAAATGACCAACAAAGGCAAACTGTGGTCATTGGGTGCTATTTGTAGCAATTGCTTTGTTTTTGACCTACCCTTGCACTGCTCCAGTTTCTTTCCTGCTCCAGTTTCGGTCCTGATCCTGATACCCAACTACCTTTCCTGTTTGTTAGTTACCCTGTTTCTGCCTTTAGACTTGACCTTTATACTTGCTTTCCCAGGCTTGAGTCAGTCATGCCTTTGTTTCCTTCCACTTGAGAATACTCTGATGTGCTGACTGTACCCTAACCTTGCTGTAATCAACACTGCATTTTTTTGTACTGTACCCTTGTGTGTGGAGACAAGGAGACGTGGGCAAAACTTCCTCAACATAATTAGATTTTATATGAAAAACAACGATAGAATTAGAAAAATATCTGGGAAAGCAAATTGTTTAAGCAAAGTCCACAAAGATATAGGCAAGGATGATGTTGTTGAAACAATCTTTGGGAATAATGTTTAAAAAGTTAGGCAAATTTCATAGACTTATAAAAGGCCAGACCACTTTCTTCAAGGTGGGACAACTCTAAAGGGCCATCTTAGTTCCAGAATTCCTGTAGGATCTGCTGAGTGCTTTGTTGCAATGCTGTAACATTCTACACCTCCCTTTTCCCAGTCCTACTACTTTCATGATCCCCTCACCTAAGTGTTGATCCCTAGGGCATTCCCCAAAAACTTCACACTTCCCCGGGAATCCAAGTGATGACAAAATGTATAAACTTAAATTTTACTTTGATAAGGAGCTACAACCAAAAAGTCAAAATTTCAAAGTACAATCATTTTGATAGGGAAATGGCTTGTTTTTGTCTAAAGATTTTGGAGACACCGATCTCTAGAAAGAAAAACAATACCGGTGGAGAATAATTAAAAATTTTCAACATTTTTTTTTATAGAAAAAAGATTGACATGATCAGGAGAGAAGAATTACATGAAATCCAAGAGAAGAGAAAGCTTCAGGTAGAAGACATTCTCTGTGAATTTTTGTTGGATCTGAACTAGGTCAAGTCAGGCCATTTAGCACAGAAGTCAGTTGGATAAAAATGGCTATAGGGCAATTCCAAAAGTGTAATTTTGGTGGGCGGGTCAGAGTTGGGGGTTTTCTATGATCCATATCACTCTGCAGAGATGTTGGACCTGGAAAAGAAACATGACATCAAAATGTGTCAAAACGCAAGGAGATAACTAGAAAAGAAAGGAAAAAATAAATCAGGTTGGAGAAGCTCAGCAAAAAGAAACTGTAGCCAATTTCACTAGTTTCTCTGTTTTCAAGGAGGGGAAAGGAAATGTTCCAGGATTTGATTTTTGAGGTGCATATGCCCAGTTCACACTGCGTGTGTGTATGTGCACAGAATGCCATTCAGCTATTGTCCAGACACACAGTCACTACCCAAACCAGGAAGTCATGCAGGATGCTTGTGGTGGTGGGGGTGGTGCTGGGGTTGACCTTGGTGGTGTGGGGTAGTGGATGTGATTGTGAGGCTGGTGCTCATTGCGGTGTCGGTTGCAGCAGTGGTGGTATGGGGAAGTATTGACAGTAGGGTCCTTGTACATAACATGTGTGGGTATTAGGAGATAGGTCAATGGAGTCCCTGAGCAATTTTGCTGTACATATCACCCCCAGGTCTGTAGTCAACTCTCTGTGGTGGGCTCATGGCTTCCCCTTTTCCCTCAGAACTTTAAGTTTGGATAAATTTTATCTTATGCTAAATATACTAAATATTATACTAAATATTATTCATGTAAGCCCACTTTTCTCATATTATCATTTATGTTACATGGAATATAATTGCAACATAAGATAAAAGAGAAAAGCCTCAAAATTGAACTGCTGTCAAATATAAACAAACCCATACTTTTTGAGTAAACTAGAGCAAGCTTCTCAAGAATTGAACTATTTCAATAGTTCAAGACCATGGCATATAATTGCAGAGATAAAGAACCAAAATTCAGACACTATTATGATGCGGCAGAGCCCTCCAAAGTAGAAACTCAAATATTCCCTTGAAATTGTATTACTGATGTGTTAGTGTGCTCTTATCAAAATTTTCACCTTCCCCTTTTCCTTTTCTTTTAAAATATTTTATTTATTTATTTGGGGGGGAGAGAGAGAGAGAGAAAGAGAGAGCAAGCATACAAGTGGGGGCAGGGGCAGAAGGAGAAGCAGACTCCCGGCTGAGCAGGGAACCCAAAGCCAAGCTCAATCCTGGGAGTCTGGGATCATGACCTGGGCTTAAGGTAGACACTTAATCTACTGAGCCACCCAGGCACCCCTTACCTTCCCTCTTTTCAATTTTGCACTCAGGTTACTGGACTAAGATTACTAAGAATGCACCATGTTTGTTAATTTCATGCCTTTTTTTTTTTTTTTTTTTTTTTAGAAAATACAATCTCTACCTTCATTAAATATGTAATTCTCTTGCAAAAAGAAAGACCTTTCAAAGGTGAATTATTTAGTGTATGGATAATTTGAATCCTACACTTTTGTATACTTGATCACTCACTTAACACCTTATCATAAAGTAGGTTGATACGTAGCCTCTGGCTAACTGACTGCATTTTTAAAGGGAATGTCATGGAAAGAAACACATCTCAAAGCCACTGCTGTTATTGCTCTTATGTATTTGCCTCTAAAATATAGATTCCATAAAATCTGCAAATGTTGTTACCTGCAAAAAAATACAAATAACTTTAGATTCTATTAAAAGAAAAAATAAACTACAAATTCCATTTGGATTGACTTTGGATTTTCTAATATTCTTAATTTCCATAAATCTAAGTAATTTTTCTATTAGCTAAGAAAAGCTATGAGAATTTTGAGGAAAAAAAAATAGTAGTGAGAGGCCACCAGTTATTACAACCTATTACAAAGCAATAATAATTAAAACAATGTGATATTAATGCAAGAAATGAGACAGATGGGACATGATCCAGGAACAGGCACTATTATAAATGACTTTAATCTACAATAACAGAAGTGTTGGGGTGTCTGGCTGGCTCAGTCCACAGTCAATAGAGCATGTGACTCTTGATCTCAGAGTGGCGAGTTTAAGCCCCACATCAGATGCAGAGCCGACTTAAAAAAATGTTAAAAAAATTAATAGAAGTGTTAGTGATGTCAATTGGCACATTTTTTTGTTGTCTTGAAGCTTTCATGAAGTCCTAAACCTCAGGACCCAAGGGATATTTGCTCCACATATTCTACACAGAGAAACTAGACACATGCCTACCAGCTTACTAAGAAACAACATGGATCCTGGCACATTTTCAGGCTACATTAAAAGAGAGTAGGATTTCAAACACTGTCTTCAAAGTGAGGCTTCCTTTGGAGAAAATTGCACACTTGGGAGAGAGTACTATGTTTTCCTACCACTCTTCATAGTAGCAGAATCTTGCTTCTTCACCATCTCCCCATAAAAATGAGGGAAACTTCAAGAGAATCACTCACCAAGTCTGGTTTGACTGATAGAGAGGAGGCATCTCATCACCCAGCCTGGATGCTTGCTGAGCTATAAAACTTAGGTCTTGCCTGGTGCTGCTATTAAAATAGAACATGGTAAGACTGTCTTAAGGGAAACTTGTTCTGGAGTTCGGGGAGCATAGAGAACACTGTTTGACTCTTCCATAGAAAAGTCTGGATATGAAAGGCTGTCTAGAATTGTCTTGATAGCAGGGCCAAGAACAATCTACAGATTTGCTGTCTATAAAGACAACTTGGATGTAGTGAGTCTAGACTGCTGCCATTCTGAAAAAAATTCCGAAAAGAACTGCCTGCTTGGATAAGTTGACCCTAGCAGGAAGAGGCTGCGTGAGGGTGTATCAGGAAAGCAGGAGTTGAGGGAGAGTGTTACAAGGTCACAGAATGTACACCATCCCCATAATGGACAGAGGGCTGAGAAGCCAGAGTAGAGGGGGTCTCCAAATAATTCACTAAATCACCCCCTAAAAGAGGGAGTTGGCCTTTGGTTATCTGCCTTTGAAGACTCTTTTCAACATTCAGCCAAATAAAAAGATGTTTTTATTCCTTTTCATCTTATCCCCAGCTTCTTACTCTTGGATGAGCCAAAAAAGCAGTGAGTGAGTGAATGGAGAGGAGGGAGTAAATGAAACCAACGATAACCAGTTAAACTTGGGGGCAACGAGGAGACACTTGAAATTGAAAGGAAGATGAATTTTTAAAAATTTTGTTGGGATAGGATTTTTTAATACTCAAAAATAAGGACTATTCACTATTATCCAAAAATGGCTATAAAAGCAGTGGGATCCATGGTGGTTTAAAAGTACATCTGCAAATTTTTTTTTTTAAGATTTATGTATTTAAGAGAGAGACAGCACAAGCTGGGGAGGGGCAAAGGGAGAGGAGAGAGAGAATACTCAAGCAGACTTCCCACTGAGTGCAGAGCCCAACACGGGGCTCGATCCCATGACTCTGAGATCATGACCTGAGCCAAAATCAAGAGCCAACTGCTCACCAACTGAAAGCCACCAGGCAACCCTTCTGCAAATTCTTTGACACTCCTTCTATCAAGAGACAGAGTCTATGTTTCCTCTCCTTGTGATCGCTACAGTGATTGAAATATGGCAGAAGTTGCCCTGGGTGACTTCCAAGACTAAATCAGGTAAGAAATAGAGCTGGCCTGCTGGCTTCTCTTAGGTACCTACTCTGGGAGCCTTTAGCTACCATGTAAAAAGTTCAGCTATATTGAAGCCATCATGTGGAGAGATCACGGGCAGAGATCATATTAAGAAAGAGACAGAGACAGGGGCGCCTGTGTGGCTCAGTCGGTTAAGCGACTGCCTTCGGCTCAGGTCATGATCCTGGAGTCCCGGGATCGAGTACCGCATCGGGCTCCCTGCTCGGCAGGGAGTCTGCTTCGTCCTCTGACCCTCCCCCCTCTCATGTGCTCTCTCTTTCTCTCATTCTCTCTGTCTCAAATAAATAAATAAAAAATCTTTAAAAAAAAAAAGAGACAGAGACAAAGAGACAAAAACAGAGGCTCTTTGACGGCAGGACAGCAGCTAGGGAGATACAAGTAAGGTGAGTATGGCATGTTTTTTAAGATGGAGGACATCAAACAACAACAACTAGTAATTAGCATAAATCACATTTTAATGCAATATTTTTCTTATAAGTTAATATACATGCTGAATAAAACATCAATATTTTACAGAAAGACAGGCTCAGTATTCCTGATTGTTCTTTTGGCTTCCAACTCCACGAGGGCTCAGCAGGGCACTGTTACTCATCCGATTGACTGGAAAGGACACAAAGCAACTTTCCAGGGCAATGGACATACTCTACATCTTGGTTTGGTTAGTGTCTATGTGGATGTATATAATTGTCAAAACTTAATGAACGTGCTCTTAAGATCTACCCATTTTATCGTTTGTAATTACACCACTCTGTATATGTATACATATTTAGAAGGGGCATGTGATCCAATTCAGTCTAAGGAATGTTGGAGGAAAGTTGCCGGAGGTTTGAGGGACAGAAGTTTTCTTACTGTGAAAGAGAGAAGCGGCAGCGCATGGTCTCTGGGGAACACTCCATGGGAATGCGAGAGCTGGGACTGTGGTGGTCATCCAGCTGCCGGCCTGAACAGGATGCCAACGCGTGGAGATGGCTGAGCTGAAAGAATCGGAGAGAAAAAGGGCCAGAGCCGTAAGGGAACTGTGCTTGACCACTGCATTTACTCTGAACCTTTCTAGTTATATAAGCCAGCATCCTTTTTATTTTATAAGCCAGTTTGGGTTGGGCTCTCTGCTGCAAATTCAGAGGGACACACAGAGCAAGCAATAAACACAAGCAGAGAAGTCGTAGGGGCCCGGAGTAAGCAGAGTCATGAAGTGAATGGAAGCAGAGCGTAGACAGCACTTGAGTCGTACCCCCAAGTAGGCACTGAGCTACCACTGGATAAAGGACAGGGGATGAGACAGATAAGATCTCTGATCTCATTGAGTTTACATTCTAGCTAGGCTGAGTGTGGGGGGGGCAGGAAGGGGTCAACAATAATTTTAGATAGCGATAAATACTATAAGGAAAATAATACAAGGTAATGTGATGTGGAAGAGGCTACTAATTTTACTGGAGAGCCAGAAAAGCCTTCTCCAACAGAGGTGGACATTTGATCAGTGACATGAATGAGGAAAAGATGCCAGCAGTCTGAAGCTCAAAAAAAAGAAAGAAAAAAAAAAAGTTTTCTAGGTAAAGACATAGCAGAACATTCCTGGAAGACAAAAAACAGATGAAAGCGTAGAAAAGATCCCTAAGATCTTTAATGTGTATATAAATCACCTCGACATCAAGTTAAAATGAAGATTCTGATTTAGTAGTCTGGGGTGATGCCTGAGATTCTGCATTTCTAACTAGCTCCAAAGTGATGCAGATGTTTCTGGTTTATTGACCATACTTGGAGTAACAAGGCCCTGGGAAATTGCTTTGTGGACAGCCTGGTCCACAAAGAAATTAAATGTTTCTTTAAAAATCTTTATAACAATGGAACACTGACCCAACATTCAGGCATCTAATCATTAGTAATTAATTTTAAGTGCATTGGTCAATGATACTTTGGAAATTAAAAGCAAAAGACAAAAAACCTGACTCTTCACAGGTAGTCCAAGAAGCACTGCCTTAGGGCCTAAAATATTACAGCGATGGTGGGGACTATACCATTCACTAAAACTGAAGAGAAGCTGGGAATATTGAAATATCAGGTATAAGGAAGAGTTAAAATAAAATTTCAGGTACAAAACATGGGGATTAAAAAAAACTGACATCCCCATCATCACCACTACCATGTACACACATGTTGACAGGCACACACACAAATAAACACACACACACACACATACGCACGCATACACACACATACGCATACACACAGGCAATTTCCATACAGAACTCCTGGCCACTAGGAGTCTATTTCTCAAACATCCTCCAAATACCCTCTTTAAATACATCCAATGGTTCTGAGCAAAGACTTCTTTTTCTGGAATTTAGGGGCTCCTGAGTATAATGCTGCTCCCTTAAAAGTGAAGCCCATAAATCAACAAGCCTTCCTCTGTGCATAGAACACAGAGCTGTCCACTGCCTCATTGTTAAACAATAATTGTTTACATTGGTTCCTTGAAAATCTGGTGATCCTTCATATTCTGGTTGTGCTGAATCATAATTATGGTAGAAGTGCAAAATCTCTAAGAAAACCTGGTCTTGGGATCTGCATCATCTGAACTGACCTTCCACTTCTCTCTGTGTGCCTGTGGTATAACCAGAAAGATGTCACATTTCTCCATTTGTTTCACCTATGGAAACTCTTGTCTTCCTAATAATCCTAGCTATTTTTTAACAAACTCCCTCCAACTGAGGTAATTTTATTGTGTTCCTTGACACTTGAAAGTACCTGTCTAGTTCACTGTGAATGGCTGAATATGTATATTTCATCAGCTTAAATGATTTTAGTTGCAAATAAGAGAAAACCCAATTCAAATTACTTTAAGAACTAAAGGTGATTTATTGGCTCATCTAAATGGAAATTCAAGAGATGGGGTGGGCTTCAGGTAAAATGTGATCCAGTGACACAATGGTCATCTCAAAAACTCAGTTTCTTTTCTATATTCTTATAGAACATAGAGGGGTGTTACCTAAAAGCCAACTTGAACAAATTTTCTCATTATTGTTAATTGCTTGTTAATTGCTTATTTTTCTTGACCTTTATTTGAATAACTGACTTACAGTCCTACTTTGTAGGAGAGAGATTCCAAAATGTCATTCTAGCTTACATGAACTTGAGTCAGAGATTCTGGAACAGTATTTGGATGTATTCCACCCAAAAAATAACCTAGTCCCAAACTTTTTGCCCAGAATTTCCTCACTGCACCAGAATTCTGTGGGTATAAAAGCAAATTAACTCAAGGTCAGATGGTCATGACCTCCCAGTGCCCTTTCTTTCTTCCTCAGAGAGATGAGACTCAACCGGACACATTGTAGGTTTCACTGTCTCTATTCTTCTATAAACAGTTGTTACACAAAGAGAGACAGATTATTCTACATGTTCTCAAAATAAATATAATTTTGCATTTTTCTCATGCCTGGGATTCTTTCTTAGCCATTCCCTCCTCCTAATGGCTTTCTCCTAGACACATATATATTCATTATCCTAACATTCTTTCCTTTCTTCTCCATATTCTCTCCTTTCAATCTTGTTTGTTTTCAATGGTGAAAAAAAGTTAAAGATTGTTTCAAATGGTCTATTTTTTCTAACATTAAACAGACTGGGGGAAAAAAAAAGTATTCTCCTTTATTTGAGAAACTAGAGGCCAATTAAAACTATAAAATCGGTCAGCCAGTAGACAGAGGATAAAAACTGTTCTACAAAGTGTAATAAATTAGAAATGGGTATTTGTTACATAGCTGATAACCCTTAGGCAGAGGGAGATGCAAACATGCCACCTACTTTGCACTTAAATGAAACATTAATAAGAGTCAGAGCTACTTAAGGTCTGGAAAGTCCATTGTCCCACAATTAGAATTCCCCCAGAGTCACTTAGTCCTTGGGAAAGGATTCAGTGTATATGAAGCTTTGACCCTGGAGCCCTGCAGGTATACCAACCAGTAAGGGACTGCCCCTCTTCCATACCTAGGCTATCCACTGTTAGGAAGGCAGAACAGAGACTGTGTGCTTGAAAGGCAACTAAAAGAGTCCTTCCTCTGTATCCCCATGGATCAAAAATTGAATTTCTACAATCTATCTTTCTAACAGACATTAAAGATTTTTGAGCAGACAACTTGGGCCTTTCACCAGTTTTAGAGCTACAGAGGAGGAACTACAAATGGAAAATAATATTATGTATTTATGTTTGTACTTGTTGAATTTAATACAAAATAGTTTAACATTTTATTTTTTTTTAAAGATTTTACTTATTTATTCATGAGAGACAGAGAGAGAGGCAGAGGGAGAAGCAGGCTCCCAAGGAGCAGGGAGCCCGATGCGGGACTCGATCCCTGGACGCTGGGATCATGACCTGAGCCGAAGGCAGACGCTTAACCATCTGAGCCACCCAGGCGCCCAATACAAAATAGTTTAAAACAATCCTGGAAGTCCCCCAAATCTTTTTCCTTGCAAACATGGTCTGAACATTACTCAGAATTGAGAAAAACAAATTGCTGTAGAGAATGCCTCACTGAGGATATACCTGGGACACACACAACGTTCCTAATTCCTTCATCTTCAGATCCCAGAGGCCATGACCAACACTAAAGGGAAATTTCAACCTACCCCATAGAGAAGATCAGCTCTGTTTTTTTTTCTATTTTGGCTTTCTTAGTAAGATTTTATTTAAACCTCTTGAATTTGTTCTTTTTTTTTTTTAAAGATTTTATTTATTTATTTGAGAGAATGAGAGAGAGAGCATGAGAGGGGGGAGGGGCAGAGGGAGAAGCAGACTCCCCGCTGAGCAGGGAGCCCTATGCGGGACTTGATCCCAGGACTCCAGGATCATGACCTGAGCCGAAGGCAGTTGCTTAACCAACTGAGCCACCCAGGCGCCCTTGAATTTGTTCTTAAACAAGAGGAATACACCATACTGTCTTGTTACTTCTAGAAAAGCTTGGGCCCTCTCGCTTAGAATAAGCAGAAGAGATTAGAGCAATAAACTATAGGGGTTAACCTCAAAAGGGGAAGCTCCCAGATGAAATCATCCCCAAGTGCGAGATAATTTTGTGGAAGAACTAACCTAAACAAGATGCATTTTTGTCCTCGGATAACCCTACTCTTTAAAGTGGGCATGTAGGGGGGGCCTGGTGGTTCAGTCGGTTAAGCGGCTGCCTTTGGTGCAGATCATGATCCCAGGGTCCTGGGATGGAGCCTGCATCAAGCCCCAAACTGAGCCCCCCATCAAGCCCTGCATCAACTCCCTCTGCCTGCTGTTGCCCTTGCTTGTGCTCTCTCTGTCCAATAAATAAATACAATCTTAAAAAAAGAATAAAGTGGGCATGTAGGATTTGCTGTGCTAAATGAAATCAGAACAATAGTGTCTTTTTAAACAAGGTAGAATCGTTTGTTTTAATCTCATTTACACACTTGCATTAAATCAAAGAATTAAATTCCTTAAACTTGCCTCTCATTCAGTGTTACAGGCTTTTCTATAATTCAATGGAACAGACACCATTTTACCTTTTAAGACCCTCAGAACACCTGTAGTAGCTGGTTACGGAATTGTTCTCCTCCCGTGCTTTCCTAGCAGCTAGCATTTCATGCACTTACTTCCTTTGCATTTGAGAATGACCAGATTTGGAAAATGACAAATGTAAATGCTTTGCTATTCAAAGAGGAATACTTTGGAATTTCTAAGCAACAAGGGATGCTTTGAGATGAGTCTATGGCAAGAACACAGAAGTTCTATTGATGAATTGTTCATTCTTGCAGTCATATTTGTCCCATTCCATTTGAAGACGAACTAGTTATGAAACATTTTGCTAGGCTCTGGGGATGAGACTGTGACTTGGTCCCTGCTCTCCTGGAGTCTGTGGTCTTAAGGGGCAGAGAACCACTGCATAAGTCATTATAAAACTAAATATATAATTACAAGGTAGGATGAATACTATAAAGCAATAGTTTAGAGTACAATAAGAATGTAGCACAATCGTTTTATACTAATTTTTGGAAATCATGGAGTAATCTGAGTTACTGGCCCTCCTTAAGTAAGTTCATTTTCCCCTCCAGCTAATCATGGATTGGGTAAAGATTCCTAAAATTTTATCTTCAATCTAGATTTCTCTATATATCTGAGTGTTTATTTGACTTCCTTGTTTGCCTGACTCAAACCTAGGTTATCCAAAATGGAACCATGATCTTTCTGCTCAAGCCTGGTCATCTTTCACAGTTCCGTGTCTCAGTGTATGGCCCTACCATGGACATTACTTGAGGAGCTCCATCATTTAAAGGGTAGGGAGTGGAGGTTAGTTGGCAAAGGAGATTGAAGAGTGGCCTGATGTCAGGGGCAGATCTGTCTTGAAGCTAGTGAAGCTTAAGATTCTGGGTATTTGTCAGGGATGCCTGGCTGGCTTAGTTGGAAGAGCATGTGGATCTCGATCTCAGGGTTGTGAATTTGAGCCCCATGTGGGGTGTAGAGATTACTTAAATAAACAAAACTTAAAAAAAAAAAAGATTCTTTTTCTTTCTTTTGCCTGGGAGGAGCCCTAGCAATGTGTTTACATGGTCACATATTTCTGTAAAGTTTTCACAAGAAAGATATCTTTTTCTTTTCTTAAATCAGAGCCCCAAATCGTGTAAGTTTCAGGTCCCACACACTGGCCGCTCAATAAGAAGAAGGAACAAAACTGAGGGTGTGATTATATGGAATTATGGGGTGGGGGGCAACACTTCAAGGGAGTGTTCAATAGTTATGAATGCATCTGAGAGGACAGAGAATATAGGGAGAGAAACAATTCCATTGGATTTAGTTAAGGGGAGATTATTGGTGCCTAGCAAAAGCCCCTTCAGTGCAGTGATGGGGCAGGAACCCAAGATGCAGGTGGTTGATGTCAAGAAATTTAACTGTGAAGAAAAGAGGAGAAAATGTAACTGGGGAGAGATGGGCTGGGGAGTAATGTTATTGCCTGCTTGCCTTCCTCCGTCTCTCTGTCTCTCTCTCAATGGGGAGAGTTGAGAGTGCTGATTGAGAGGTTACACAAGACAGAGATGTGCTGAAGATACAAGGGATGAGTTTTCCCTTCATCCTAACTTCATTTTCATTTTCAAAGGACCCAGAGGAGATGAATATCCACAGATGCTAAAGAAATCTAGTGAGTGCTTTTATTTCCCCAGTAGGCAAAACTACACTGATGCCTATGTTTGAGAAAGTACAATGGGTCTTGGACTGAGGACACTCTCTCCACCCAGGGCACTTTAGCTCATTTTACTCCCAGTCATTTGCAGACAACTGATCTATTTTGAAGCTTTCTGAAAATATCCATTTAATAGCTCAAATCAGCTTCCCTCTGGAGCCTCGTATGTTTTAAAAACTGTATTTCCCCTTAAATATTTGGTGAATATTGGAGAAATACACTTTTTTTTTTTTAGTAGACAAAAAATTTTACAAGTCTGCCAAAGAAATCAGAACTTTTAATTCAGGATATTAAAAGAAATTCCTGTAAATATTTTAAATTGGACTTCTGAGTATCCTTTGATGTATACCGTAATACTAGATGTATGTACTGTGAGAGGAAGCAATTTTCTTCCGCAGAAAAGATTCCTGGGACTCAGGAATTGAGGGTATCAGAAACACAATCTTAAATGGCACAAAATAGAAATGAGTATGTTTCTCCTGGCACCATGCAATTCTGAACCCTTCTTTCATGTTTATTGTTTCCGTCTTTTAATTGCATATGTCTGAGAAGCACACTAATGTTCCAAAAGTTACTTAGAATGTGAGATTATTAAGCCCCCACGCCCCATGCCTCCTCATTAAAGCGCTTCTCATCACCTTCCCATACCACTTAAATAAGTTACCTGTACAGAAGGCATCCACAAGGCAGTCCACATAATGAAAAAAAGAAAAAAATTAAGTCCTCAAAACTGGAAATAGCGCCTACCAGTTCCCACAGGTTGCCAGATTTAGAAAGGAAAAATACAGACCCCCCAGGTTAAATTCGAATTTCAGATAAACAGTGAACAATTTTTCAGCGTTAAGTATGTCCCAAACATTGCACGGGCCATACCTGGCCAAAATAATTATTCCTCGTTATTGGACATTCCCAGTTAACGGGGCGCCCTGTATCCCCCCAAGGCAACCTCACAGAACCCACGCGCCGCACGCCAGGCCCAGCGGCCGCGGAGCTAGTTTAAAACCCAGGACCCGCGGGCTGGGCCGCGCCCCCTGATTGGCCGAGGCGCGCCCGCCGCCCCGCCGACCGCAGGCGTCACGCAGCCCCGGCAGCCCCGGCCCCGGCGCCGGCGCCGCCGCCTCCTCCTCGGCGGCCCCGGTCGGCGCAAGTGCGGCGCGCGCGGGGGAGGGGGCGCGGCGGAGCGCGAGGCTGGCGTCGGGCCGCCGCCGGCCGGGCGGGATTAAGTTTCTCGGTCGCGCGTGAGTGTGCGCGTTTATCCCGAAGCTCCTGGCCGGGCCGTTACTTCAGGAGAGAAGAGGGCGAGCGGGAGCGAGGCGAGGCTCCCGAGTCCCCGGCGACCCCGGCTCCCCAGCCCTCCTCCCCCTCCGCGTCCCCGCCCGGGCGGCCGCCGCTAGCCGGGTAAGCGGCGCCGGGGCCCGGGCCAGGAGGCCGGAGCGCGCCCCCGCGCTCTGCGCGCGCGCCGGCAGGGAAGGTGCGCGGGCGCTGGGGGCTCGGCGCGCGGGGCAGGCGGGCGGGCGGGGTGCGTTCGCCCCACCCCGCGCGGCCGGGCGGTACCGGGAAGCCGCCGCTCCTCTGGCTCTTTTAAAAGGACGGGGTCTGGAAGTTTCCTTCGCTACTTGCATGGCACCCGAGCGCTAGTCCCGGTCCTTTCAGCCCTCCCACCCCCCCTCCCCCTTTGCCCTTGCTTACTCTAAATGGTTTAAAAGTTTTTTTCTTTTCCTTCGCCTGGAGGGGCACAGGGATGGTGCCGGGGAGGGGAACCGCGGGCCTGGCGCGCGGGCCGGCGCTCCGGGGCGCAGGAGCCTGTTGCTCGCCGCTGGTGTGGCCGCGCCCCGGGCCGGGCGCTTGGGTCGTGGGGAGAAAGCCGCCTCCCCCCCCCCCAGACTGGCGTCTCTAGCCTTGTCTGTCGGACCCCGAGCGCGCCGCTAATTGGTACCCGCCCCCCATCCCCCGCGGCGCCTGTGCCCTTTCATCCGCTGCCCCCCACGGTGGGAGCAGTTAGCTCTCGCCACCCTCTTCAACTACCCCGCGCCGATGGGGCGCCTTTGTCTGCGGTTCGCAGCGGGGGGGATGCCGGATGTTCCTCGGGAAGCGCTGTTCGGGAGACGCTTTGTGTCTTGGGAGTTGTGTGTGTGTCGGGGGTGGTGATGGTGTACATTTTTGCTTGCGTTCTCTGCAGAGGCACAAAGGCCGGGCTATTCTTTCCCGCAGATCACATGGAAATTCAAGCTGGGACTGCCTAACGTAGGAGGGGCCGGGCGACAGCCGGGGGGAGGGGGGCGGGTGGCGGCCGCTGCGCGGTGGTTGGGGGCGAGTCGGGGGCGGCGGGACGTCTCCATCCGTCTCCGCGGGTGGGGCTTGCAGAGCTTGCTCAGCTGGCGAAGAACCCGAGCGTGGGCGCTGCGTGCCTTGTGTGGGGAGGGTGCGGGTGGCAGCTAGTGTTTCTTAGGTAGCATCAGATAAGAGGACCATGACTTCAGCCTAGAAAGAATACTACCCGTGTTCGTTTGATGTCCAGAGGGGAAGAATCACACACAAATCACCCAGCTTTAGTGGACAGCTGTAGTGTAAACATCCCTTTTGTGTTTCCGTAGACATTCCTCATTTAGATTACCTTTAGCAGGATTAAAAGAAAAAACACGATCTGAAAAACTAACGAGGTGATGGTTTAGGGCTTGGGAGTTTTTACATGCTGAATTTGGGTATACGTGACGACAATGAACTTTTTTAAAGGGTCGAATCAACTGTATTTAATATACGCTTTACCGCCTCGTAGAATTTAGGTTAAACCCAACAAAACTTAAGGTTCCTAGGTTTGAGCTTCTAATACAGTGTTAAGCTCTGGATGGATGCACCTGTGCCCTTGCCTGAAGGAGGGCTGAGGGTTTAGAGGGTGGTGGAGATAATCTTGTCTGGGATGCCCAGATTTCTTGTTAGCTAATGAGCCAGTTTACAAATGGGCGGGTATATCTAGATGGGACTCTGTCCTTGCTCAGTTCATATTAGGGTCTTTGCAAGTGAAGGTCTCTAAATTTAAGGGCCATGGGCCAAATTGGCCAGCAGCAGCCTGTTTTTCCCTCAAAGTGTAGGAGTTAGAAGTGTTTTGTGCATGTTTATATGGTTAAAAAATCAAAAGAATAGGGGCGCCTGGGTGGCTCAGTCATTGGGCGTCTGCCTTCGGCTCAGGTCATTATCCCAGCGTCCTGGGATGGAGCCCTGCATTGGGCTCCCTGCTCGGCGGCAAGCCTGCTTCTCCCTCTCCACTCCCCCTGCTTGTGTTCCCTCTCTCGCTGTCTCTCTGTCAAATAAATAAATAAAATCTTTAAAAAAAATCAAAAGAATATATCATGGTATGTAAAAATTATTTGAAAATCAAATCTCAGTGTGCATAAGTAGAGTTTTATTGGCACAAGGCCACACTCATTCCTTTTGTGTATGGCGGATTCTTACTGTCTCTGGTTGCTTTAACAATAGCAGTGGGAGAGTTGAGTGGTTGCATAGTTGAGACATGGATGCATAGCCTTGAAAGTATGGAATGTTTACTCTCTTTTTCTTTACAGAAAAACTTGCCAACCTACAGCAGGCTTTAAAAGTATTGCTTAGGGTGCCTGGGTGGCTCCGTTGGTTAGGCGTCTGCTTTCCGCTCTGGTCGTGATCCCAGGGTCCTGGAATTCAGCCTGGGGTCAGGCTCTCTGCTTATGGGGAGTTTACTTCTCCTTTCTCTCTGCTTTCCGCTCCGCCTACTTGTGCGCACGCTCTCTACCCGAACCCTTTTCTCTCCCTGTCAAATAAATTAAATCTTTTTTTAAAAAAAGCATTGCTTAAATGCCCCCTCTTTTGATGGGTGCATTGTTTAATTTCATTGTCTTTCACGCTGTTTCTGGTGTCCCCTGAACTGGCTGAGTTTTCCCCAATAGGTAGACAAGTTAATGTATTGGATTTTCCCATTTTGAAGTTTCACCCCTCAAAAAGATTTCTTAACCTTTTAGTATCTTTCTTTGTCAGAATCTAGGATAAAGTGGGTTTTCTGGTTGGCAGAAATTACCTGCTTAGTAACTTTAATATAGATAGCCACATTTCAAGGTGTTCTGCAGCGAGTTCTAGTGACTTCTTGCCGCCCTGCTACTTGAGCAGGTTTGAAAATTATAGTTTTGTTTATTTAGGTAGAGAGTAGCTGGAGTTAGGGGATGTCATGGATTCCCTTTTGCAGGGAAGCACTTGAGGCAAAGCTAGTTTGGGGGGGAACTTGACTCTTCACCATTCCTCTTCCCTAAATCTTTGCTAAAACAAAAAATGATGAAGTTTATTCTCCACATATTACTGAATTGATCACATGTGTACATGCCTCTAACATGTGTTCCTTTTCTTCCTTTAGCTCCCATTGGTATTTCTTCTTTTCATTTCTCCTCTCATTTCTGGTTTTCTTTCTCATTTTACTCTACTCCTTTTATTGCCTAAGCCTGTTGCTTGTGGCTTAGGCAGAGCAAGACGTCAGTTACAGTGTTTGTCTGCTCCAAATTCCTATCACATAGACATTGTCCTGCTTGACCCTTAAAGACCTCTTTGCATTTCAGATACCTTTTAAATGCACATATATTATGAAGGAGTGAAGGCTGTCCTCAGAGTTAACTATCTCTCTGCAAGGTGGGGTACTCAGATTTGTGGAAATCCTTGAAATGTAATTTTGCACTGATGCAGGCTTTTAGCCTTCAGCTGCTGTGGTGTGGAGGCTCTGCTTTACAAAGGAAGTGGACTCATTGTCTAGAGTTAAGATTAAGGGACTTAGAAGCTGGCATGCAACAATGATTGCCTGGAAGATAACTAACTGCCCTGAGTTAAAGGCAGATGATTTTCTTCAAATTACATCCCAAGTCTGACATCATAGACTTGACTCCCTTAGGTTAAGTAGCAGGTTGGCTCCATTTTGTATATCTGTAATATGTACACAGTACTTTGTGAATTTCATAAAATATCTTAAAGAAAAGTTGATATATTGGACTGGAAATGTCCCCATATGCTGGAGCAAACAACATATCTGCCAGAGAAAGATCCTATACTTCAAAGTAAAGAAGCAGAAAACTTCCTATAGAATTCAGCACTGCTTGATGGCACATACGGATGATGATATATTTTATCATTATTATATTTCCCAAGCAGTTGTATGTGATTTTAAAATACATTTAGCCTAAAGTAGGGATTCATTTGATAGAGTTACATTGTTATGTACATTATCAACCCCATATTTATAAGAAGAAAGGTACTATTTTCTCTTTTGAAATAGTGTCATGTGTGAGAGAGCCTCTATATAAACACAGTTGGGAAGTGATGGTTAGTATGGTAAAGTTGATATACTATGATTAAGTAATTATGGTGGGGTTCTGTGTGGGCGAATAAGAATAAGGAGATGAAGAACTACTTCTACTTACATAATCTATTGCCTTCCTGTGAAATATTTTCTGAGTAGATCTGAGGTAGTTGTTTATTTAGTAGATAATAATAGATGGATTAGGAGGTGTGTTGCTTTGGGTTAAGCACTGGGGAGAACATAAAATAAGATATTGCCCTAGAAACTTACTGTCTTGGTTGAAAAAAAAAATCACACAAAGGAAAGAATATGAAAGTTTTACACTCGGTAAAAGTTATACCATTTCAAAGAAATTAGAGATCAACAGAGGACTGCTTGCTGGCAGTTTGTAGATGGCCATCTCCCTGTGTCTCCCAGTCCTATTGGAGTAGGGGAGCCCCAACGACCTCATTTAACCCTAATTACCTCTTTAAAGACCCTGTCTCGAAATACAGCCACATTCTGAGGTACAGGGGTTAGGACCTTAACATATGTATTTTGGGGAGGTAGAGAGGAGGACACAATTCAGCCCACAATGAAGTTCTTAAAGAGACCTAGGTTATAAACTGGTAGAGATCTTGAAGAATGGACTGGTGTAGGGTTAGGGAGGGAGGTCATATAGGAGGCTTTTGTGTTAGTCTAAGCATTACTGTGGTAATTTGATGTTTGGGAAAAGAGAAACTGCTGTATGAGGAAAAAGACACTTTATCTTTGGCCTGAAGCCACTTGTTTTCTTTTTCCTGGCTTTCACTGAGAAACTGGCCCTTGCTTTTTATGGACAGAGCATTATGTTAGTTTCCTTTTTAAGTGTTTCATAAAAGCATTACTTTTTAAAGATATTTCTTATATTTCTTTCAAAAATCAGTAAAACATTAAATTTGGCAAAAATGAAATGTTAATGTTTGTAAACATTTCGTCTGAAATGTTTCGTCTGATTGAAACAACAAAGCTTATTCTTTAAATTACATTGACCTGAAAACTGTATATACTATGCATGTTTTGTGGGCAAGTAGTTCGCATAATCATTTTTTTCCCCCAGAAATTTCTTTTTTTG